AAACTTGCCTGAGTGGCAAGCTTTGGATTGCCACTTAGATATCTGGGAGCAAGGTCAAGGTAATTTGCTTACAATAGAATATTCAATATCTACTCAATAACTTCAGTGCACTTTGACCTATTTGATTTCTGTCACATTCAAAACTTGGTCGTTAAAAACCTGGTTTTCGTCGCATTGCGGCGCTTCTTGTTGAGATTATACAGATTTCACCCCCATCCCCACTTTAAAGGTGGGAGGCATACTGCAATAGGGTGGTTTGTCAGTTTGTCTGCACAACCAAAAATAGATAGGGGAAAGAAAAAATATAAGCCTAGGTTTGTTCAACTTAGATTTGACACTGCCTATGGTCAGTAGATGACTGATTTTGAGATTAGTAGGTCAAAGTCACCTAAACATATTGGGGGATTGGGAGATCTTTTTTACTGGGTCATTATGATCTTGACTTTTATTCACTTTATACATTTCCTCTGTTGTTGTTGTTTGGAATCTAGCAAGGAACTTTGGATTCTCAATTTGTGGAAGCTATCAGGCTGGTTTCTGGCAGGTGGGTGAATCTACTGATTTGCTGATGTGTGCTTGATATAATGCATTCAGCAGCCAAGGTCTCTCTCCAACAGTAAAGCTGGAAAGTTGCTATATCAGGCATTCATAGTGTGACTTAAAAGCCAATCTTTTAAAAAAAAAGGTCAATTTTTATAAGAAAATTTAATTTTCAACCATGTTTCAAACCACCTGTCAAATACAAGTAAAGAAAGTACACTTACTGAGTTTTATGGAAACAAATCCTTTAGTCATGCATTCATGTCTACCATTTCATACACTAAAGTTACAGTAGTTTATATATAAAATAAATAAAGGTTTTAGAGAGTTTTAGTGCTAGTTACTTCCCCTTCTGTGTATGCAATCTAGGGAATTTTCGTCTGTGTTTTACGTTTATTTATATAACCAGAAAGAAAATATATGTTTTTAGAATGATAAGTATGATAACAGACTCATTCTAACCTAGTTTAAAGGCTCAGGAATGAATATGTTATTCCATATGTAGAAATGGCAATCATATGTTGTATGATGTACAATATTGGATTAAGAGTAGGTAAGATGCTTATTGCCTGATGAAAGCAGCACTGAATATGAAATGACTTGTCATAAAGGTAGCTTTATGTAATCAAAATGGTATTTTGATGTCCATACAAAATACTTAATCACTATAAGTGTACTTAAAACCAAAAATGTTGGCTCAACTTTAAAGTCAATAAGTTTGTTTGGGTTTTTTTGGCCCTCTGTAGCAGGAGAGAAAAATCTAAATGCAGAACAAATATGCTTTACTGGTACGTAAAAATTGACAGGAAGTTACTGTAACTAGCATGCCTAATTGTTAGCAATGAATAAACAGGTACAAACTTTTGTTTATCATTGACATTCCATTGCTTATTCTGCTTCATATGTGCCCCCAAATCCCTGCTTTTCCTATGATGACACTAATTTGATCTAATGAAATAATTGGCCTCCATTTGGACACAGGAAATGAGCAAGAACATGTGCCTTTGAAGTGCGATAGCTATTTTTTTTTTGAGTGAACTTTAATTTTAATGTTTTGTATTGACCTGATTCATTAAAGTCTTTAACCTTTTAAGATATATATTTTTTTCAGGAACTGTGCCTAAACATCATACCAACCTTTGCTGAGCTGATTGACTACACATCGCTGAAAACTTCCATTGTTCCTAGAATTAAGAAGCTTTGCCTGTCTACAAACATAACTGGAGTAAGTTGTAAAATAACTATCGAAACTGATAGTATTACTGTTTCCGCTGGATTTTTTATAGGATAAAATTACAAACTGCACAATGTAATTGGTTCATTCATGAGTAAGCAATGATGTAAACTGAACATTTAGGAATAAGATAAAAAAAAATGTAATGGTAATATTTATGAATAAGATAATGATGTAAACTTAACATTTAGTAATAAGATGATTATGCAATGGTAATATTTATAAATAAAATAATGATGTAAATTTAACATTTAGGTATAAGATAATGATGTAATGTTAATATTTATCAATAAGATAATGATGTAAACTTAACATTTAGGAATAAGATAATGATGTAATGGTAATATTTATGAATAAGATAATGATGTAAACTTTACAGTTAGGAATAAGATAATGATGTAATGGTAATATTTATGAATAAGATAATGATGTAAATTTAACATTTAGAAATAAGATAATGATATAATGGTAATATTTATGAATAAGATAATGATGTAAACTTATCATTTAGGAATAAGATAATGATGTAATGGTAATATTTATGAATAAGATAATGATATAAACTTAGCATTTAGGAATAAGATAATGATGTAATGGTAATATTTATGAATAAGATAATGATATAAACTTAATATTTAGGAATAAGATAAGATGTAATGGTATTATTTAGGAATAAGATAATGATGTGAACTCAATATTTAGGAATAAGATAATGATGTAATGGTATCATTTAGGAATAATGTAATGATGTAATTGTATTATTTATGAATAAGATAATGATGTAATGGTATTATTTATGAATATATACAGTGAGACTGTAAACCAAACATCTCCAAAGAATATCCTCTAAAAGATATGTATTATAACTACCATTGTTTTTTTTTCTGGTGTGTTTATTTGCAGGTAAGAGTCAATTGTTTACTGTCTCTTGGTAAACTGTTGGAGACAATGGATAAATGGTATGTTCTGGATGAAGTTTTACCTTTGTTACCACAAATTCCATCCCGGGAACCAGCTGTTCTAATGAGTGTACTAGGTTTGTATTTCTATATGATTTTTTTAAGCATTTCGTATTTAGTATTTCCTTGGTCTTTGGTCTGATGGGCTCTTGGCAGTTTTTGTGTTCGCTCTGTATCTTTTCAACTGATTGAAGGAAATTAAAAGAAGACTCCAGAGATGCTAACTTTTGTGGGATGATGTGCATAGCACAGATTCAGACTTCCTTGGATTAAGATCACACTGTAACTTAAAAAAAATTGTTATTGACATTTACGGTGAAGCACGTTTCATATAATCTCTAAACAAAGTGGTGGATTTCAAACTTCCGATAATTTCAACGAATCTTTGGGAATTTAGATATTATATTGTTAGTATACCATGTATACCAAACAAAGAGCAGTTATTTAATTTTAGTTTACAATACTTTTTACGAAAACACAATTTGTATCGTATATATTTTTTAGAGAATAATTAAGCCGAGTAATCCCGAAGTACCTCCGTAACTTTAACTAGGAATGGCAAAGTCAGGCGATCTAATGATGGTACTAAGACCTTAATGTCCTAAAGTTTTTGGAATTGCGATTTCGCACAAACTTTATGATACGCAAACAATCAACTTACACAGTATATTTTGGGGGGAATTCTTGATGAATAAAATAACACTAAATCTGTTACAGGACACAAATATACTCTAAATTACACTAAACAACTTCTTCTACCACAGTATCATTATCATACAATTTGCTGGAAGGGTGGAGTTTAACCCATAGAAAGTTTCTCATTGGCTTTCCACTATTCACTGTGAACATTACAATATCCTGTATGGGCGGAGTTTAACCTATTACAATATGTTGGAGGGGCGGAGTTTAACCTATTACAATATGTTGGAGGGGCGGAGTTTAATCCATCGCAGAGTATTTTATTGGCTATTTGCTAGATAACAGATATGAATAAACTATGCATGATATGCATGATATTAATATTTTATGTATTTTTAGGTATTTACAAAGTAGCATTTTCACATGACAAACTTGGTATCACTAAGGATATACTGGCTGGAAAAGTGGTTCCATTTCTTATGACAGTCTCCATTGAACATAGTTTAAACCTTGGTCAGGTCAGTACTTTCATTTTATTTTAAGCATCTAAAAACCTTGCTCTTACAGAAGTATCCCTGATTCTGGTATTATCAGGGTTTCTCGTATTATGTGGTTTTGTGAGTTTTTAAAGCTACCTACTTAGCTTACGTTCGAACTTAAGTTAGTAAAACAAGACATTTATATATTAAAAAATATTATGTTTATACATGTATATTACAGTTTACAGCATTTATTACACTTATAGGGGAAATGATTACACATTTAAAATTACAGTTTACATCATTTATTGCACTTAAATGGGAAATGATAACACATTTATATATTATAGTTTACCACATTTATTAAACTTATACGGGAAATTATAACATATTTATGTATTACAGTTTACAGCATTTATTACACTTATACGGGAGATGATTACATATTTGTATATTACAGTTTACAGCATTTATTACACTTATACAGGAAATGATTTCACATTTATATATTACAGTTTACATCATTTATTACACTTAAATGGGAAATGATAACACATTTATATATTATAGTTTACCACATTTATTACACTTATACGGGAAATGATTACATACTTATGTATTACTGTTTACAGCATTTATTACACTTATACGGGAGATGATTACATATTTGTATATTACAGTTTACAGCATTTATTACACTTATACGGGAAATGATAACACATTTATATACTGCACTTTACAGCATTTATTACACTTATACGGGAGGTGATAGCACATTTATATATTACAGTTTATAGCATTTATTACACTTATAAGGGAAATGATTACACATTTGTATATTACAGTTTACCGCATTTATTACTCTTATACGGGAGATGATAACAAAGATTGAGACTGAACATAGGGGTAAATTAGAACAGCTGGAACAGATGAAACAAGAACAAAAGTTTGTTAACTACTTTGTTTCCTTGCTTTGTAGTTTTTCTGCATAAAACTATAGGATTTTCTTGTTACCTTATAAGCTTTTTGATGTACAAATTATTTAAAAGAAGTGTTTGCTTTTACAGTTTTTCTCACAAAATGCTTTAAAGGTTTGAAGGATAGCTTTGTAGGCTTGATTTATGCGGCTTTTTTTGCTTTGATATTTTATTACTTCATGTTAAAAAGCTGACAATATTTGATATGAGATGTCTTGATAATATTTATTTTATAAATTTGCCCCTCAGCACTGTGGGTTCAAATCCTGCCAGTGACTTTGGTTTCTTTCTTGTGATGGAGCTATCTATTTAGCTAACTTAATGTCAGTGGTTCTACCCAGGTACTTGTGCCTGAAATAATGCACAGAGGGGCACCCCACCTGATTTCCTCCTCCACCAGTAAAGCTCTAAAGTCACCATATGACCTTTCCAGTGTTGGAGCAACTTATAACCCAGCCTAAAAAATGAAATTTGTTCTGTCCAGTTAGCTTATGAAAGATTAGTGGTTCTACTCAGTAGTCAAATTTAAAAGATATGGCTTGTTGCAAAGAAAAGTAAAAAATTACTTCAATATATACAGCGTACAGTGTAAAATGATAAAAGTATGAATATTTACCACAGGTAAACCTTCTACACCTTACATATTTGTTACAAAATGTATTTAGAATCTGTATGATTTGTAAGATTATGTATTTTAGGAGCATGGAGATTACTAAGATAACAGAACAAGATGATAAGACACTGATCAGTGGTATAGAGGAAAAACCTAAAACCATGGTATGTCCATTTACCATCATTTGCTACCCATTCATAGTTTTTACATTTGTGAATTTAACCTAAATTGTGAAGCATTATTTATTTAATTGAACCACTCTGCAAGTCCACTTCCTGGAACTAACCAGTACTGGTGTCATATGAGGAAACATGGTAATGACCCAAGTAGGGTTCAAATCCACAAGGGCTTACCCTTGTTGAAAATTTCTTTTTGGCCAAACAAGTTCGATTTTCTGATTTCATTCAATATTATATCAAAATAGCAAAGCATTGGTAAGAAATTATGTCACCAAATTGTAATTTCTGAAGACAAATTATGAAAATTTAAGCAAAAGGTCAAAATGGCTATTGACAGAGTGAGCCCTGCACATGATCCTTGGGTTTGGATGGAGACATCTTACTCATCAGGTCAGGGCTCCATATTTGTTCTTGATTAGGATTTGATAAAAAATATTTGTTCTTGTTTAGGATTTGATAAAAAATATTTGTTCTTGATTAGGATTTGATATAAAATATTTGTTCTTGATTAGGATTTGATATAAAATATTTGTTCTTGATTAGGATTTGATAAAAAATATTTGTTCTTGATTAGGATTTGATAAAAAATATTTGTTCTTGATTAGGATTTGATATAAAATATTTGTTCTTGATTAGGATTTGATAAAAAATATTTGTTCTTGATTAGGATTTGATATAAAATATTTGTTCTTGATTAGGATTTGATCTTAACTTCTATCTTACTTTACCAATAACTATAAGACATCTTCTTTACCTAGAATATTCTTTGTGCACCATGTTATATAGAAGGGTAAAAGTAAGAGAATGGAATAAAAGAAAATTGACCTGTTCCGGTGTTTACAATTTATAAAAGTAAACTTTTTTGCAAAAAGTTGATATAAAAACTTAAAAGTTAACATATGTTAACAATCAAAGTTTATTGTTGTTCTGTTCTCATACTATATGTAAATACCTATTACTACCTATCAAATCTTTTGAAGTCATTGGTTCTACTCAGGTGCCAGCTTATGCCTGAAATAATGCAAAAATAAACACCTGAGGTCACCCTCCACCTGTAAATATGAAATGTCAGTGTATGATCTTTACAGTGTTGATGTGACTTACCAAAGAAACAAAAGAAACTGAAAAGATTACAAAATGACATTTTCTATCACCATTTTTATACAGTATGCATGTATGCCTTTTTTTCATGATTTCAGATGGACTCATTCCTGTCAGGTTTTGGAATGGGAGGAGGTGATAAATCTTACAGTCCGAGCCCAGGTAAATCTGTCCAGCCATCACAGCCTGCAACCAGCCAGCCTGCTAAGGTAAGTAACAGACCATTGCTAGTCATAAAGGGCTTTGTTAGTCTATAGAGCCTGTAGTCTTACAAGATTGTGTTAAGATTAGAGTTTTGATACTGAAATCCCTATATATCAGTGATGGACTGATCCATATTCAAAGCTGGGCAAGTCCACTGCACAGATTAGTGAGTAAAGTGACCTACCATAAAATACGCTTATTATAGTCTATTCAAATTAATCTTCAACATTTCACGGGTAATTCACTTATTTATTTTTAACGTCAGCTACAACAGCTTGTGACAAAAATTTTTATTTTTCATGGCGACTGTCAAGTATGCTTATCTTTTTGGAAATGTTTGCAATTTTCCACAGAGGGATAACAAATTAGAATATTTGTCTTACAGGTAACGCTTTCACTGGAGGAGAAACAGAGAATCGCAAAACAACAGGAACAGCAAAGGTTCCTAAAAGCTGCCAAACCTCTCGATGTCAAATCTTCTAATACTCAATCTCAGAACAGGCCTAAAACAGCCTCAAACCAGCCTAAAGACTTGACCTCCAGTCTCATGCAGTCTAATATGTCCGGACTTAGTTTGTCATCGAATAAACCTACAAACTCGTTCAATGGTACGATGGGACTGAGTTCTAATAGCAGTATTAATAGTGGCTCTTTCGGGAATCAAACTTCTAAATCTGGCGTCAGTTCAATGAGTACAGGATATGGATCTTCTATGAATCAAGGTGGATTCGGGTTATCAAGTACAAGTTCATATTCCCAGAATTCCTTTGGTCAAAGTTCAGTGGCAGGTCAAGGGAACAAGTCTGTGGATCTGTCATCATTTGATAATCTCATGACAAGTAGTTCACAGAAACCTAAAGTGTCTATGAGTCAAATGGGTCAAAATCCAGGGGGTTCATCAATTCAGCAGACGGGCATGATTGGAAATATGGGTAACCAAGGCATGATGGGTAACCAAGGCATAATGGGTAAACAAGGCATGATGGGAAATCAAGGAATGATGGGAAATCAAGGAATGATGGTAAACCAAGGCATGATGGGTAACCAAGGAATTATGGGCCAGCAGGGCATGATGGGAAACCAAGGGATGATGAACAGTGGGTTTGGAGGGTCAAACATGGGTTCAGGATTTAGTGGTGGTGGTATGAATTTCCAGCTAGGTGGCATGGGTAGCCAAGGGAGTATCTTACAGTCCCAGCCAATGGGAGGACAGAATTTGATGCAACCTCAGTCAATCAATAATCAGAATTCAGTGAATAATGTACCGTCTGTAAGAAATGACCTTGATGACCTATTTGGATGAAAACAAAGATAAGAAACAAGTCTGTGATAGCTTTACGTATTGTGTTAATGGAGGTGCAATTAGTCATTTCAGAGGGATTGTCTTTCAGTATCATTAAAGTGTTATAACTGCCAGATTGTACATTCCATAATCATTATTGAAGTAAATATCTTCACAAACTTAAGCATATATCATTGGTCAGATAAGAAATTGCTCTAAAATATTCCTGCATTTCATTGGTCGATTTTACGAATCAACTTTAGTTGAAATAGCTTAGTAAAAAAAAATGTGCTGAAAGCATTTAATGTTGTAGAATGTTTTTGAAACCTGGCTCAGAGCTGAGCTTTCTCATTGGTTGATTCAAAGTCTGTTTTAGAAGATTAACCAATGAGAGATTTGTTTAAAGCACTGGTTACCAGTCTGTTTTGTTATGTATACATTTCAAGTTTTTTTTATGGAAAAGTTCATTTTATTTCTTAATTTTAGATTTTTATGAGATATTGGCTTACTACTTACTAAAGGTGATTTTTTGTCATCATTTTTGCAACACAACATGTATTTCAATATGATTTTTTGTGTTCATATTTTTAAGATTTTATTTCATTCCCATGAAAATTGAATAAATCAGGATGGTGGTCTAAATATGTACATTTTAATCATACATATATTAAAATTTAATTATGTTTATATGGTAAAGGATATTATTGCTTAACATTAGGGTGCAGCTTGGTTCATTTGTTAAGTTTTTAGAATACATATAATTCCAGTTAGCTAACAGAATGTTGATGGTTCTAATCAAGTTCCCTCAAGTGCCTGAAATAATACTCATAGGGGCACCTGGGATCATCTTCCTCCACCACTTAAGTTGAAAAATGACAATTTGACCTTAAAAGTTTTGTTGTGACTAAACCATTGAATGATGATACAATTTAGCCTGATACTTGTGTCAGTTCTATAGAAACACAACTTTCAATTAATTTTATTTAATTTCGGAAAATTATTTGAGACCTGATCTTTTCTAGAACTTAAATTAGCTGTTTTATTTTGAAAGGAGATACATGAAAGCAAATGCATAATGCATATAAAAAAGTACTGCACTTGATATCTGTATGTTATTTTGTGTATTCGGCCCTATTTCCCACTTGTGTATATGAAAATATTAATTGACCTATTTCTTGAGCCTAATTGTTTTCATATAATAAATATACATCTTCCCAGCATATACTATAGTTATTTGTTAGATATAAAAGAAACTGCAGAAGTAATTGTTAATTAAGGTCAAAATTTACTTGCTTGATTATGTTAGGGTTCTATAAGTCCAAAAGTTTCTTGAGGGTTCTTTAGCTTCCAAAAGTTTCTTGAGGGTTCTGCAACTCTAAAAGTTTCTTAAGGGTTGTTGTTTAAGGGTTATACAAATACCCAAAGTTTCTTGAGGGTTCTATACCTTCAAAGGTTTCTTGAGGATTCTACAACTCTTTATCTTTTCATTCCCTAGATGATTTTACAATTCTAAAAGTTTATCAACTTACTTGCTTGAGGGTTCTATAACTCCATTATATAAGCAAGTAACTTATTTTGGAATTGTATTACTTGAGTTAATGCTCCAATGACATTTTTGTTAGTGATACCTTACATATCTGCTGACCTTATTTGTTATTATAATTTTATAGAATGGAAGTTAACTTCAGTGTGTGTTATAATTGATACATTTGTTGCTTTGTTTTGTTTTTGTCTGTTTCAAGCATAATACATTGTATATGTGGACATGTGTAAAATACATTCTTTTCATATCTGTGTCTAACTGTACTTTATGAATGACTAATTTACATGATAAGGGGAAATGCTTAAAATAGTAGTTTGTAAAGTACTGTATAAGTATATATATTTATATGTTATAAAAAAAGAAGTTTGATTCCTTGTGTGGATGTAATATATAACAAGATAAGTTTCTGGGAAATGCATATTATACACATATTTTGTACAATACATTACTTTAAATAAATGTACCAGAACTTTTTACTTGTGGCCTTATCAAGCAATAAAATCACCGATTTGGATATATTATTTTGACACATCAAAAAAATAAATTCTGCCATACTTTATATTAAGCTAAATTGTGCCTGATTTGTTTCCGTACTTATTTTCAGCGCGTCACATTTTTAGTGGTTATGTCACGTGTATAATGATTAAGTCTCATGCCTAAATATAGAATGTCAACAGTGATTTTATTATGCTCCGCGAAATATTTTGGGGAAGCATATAGTCGTCGGGTTGTCCCACTTACGAACTTTCGCTATACGTATATGCAGTATTTCGATAGAGCGGAAGTCAGTGCGCGAGCATGCGCTTTGCCATATCTCGTTCAGTTACCGCTCACGTTTTAAACTCGGTTGCTATGAAACGACACTAAGTGTACATGGCTTTTACAACTAAAATATCAGACAAACACATTAAAACAATACACATAAACTACACATAGTTGTTTTCCATATTAATATTTTGCATTTGAAACTGATAGTCAAACAAATATCTCAATATTCTTACTGATTTAATGTATTGTGTACATGTGATGACAGCAACACTGAGTGTTAGATTACTTTCGGTTCAGAAAATTCATTTGTTTACCATCAAAACTCATATGTTTACCATAGGAACCATATATAGATAGAAAGCAAATTAAACAAGGGTAAAGAAAAAATTGTCCGTTTCTGAACAAAAAAACGAATAAATAAATACAAAGTCTTTTTAAAAGGTCCCTTCTTTGAGTTCATTTGAAAGGGGAATAATTTGGTGGAATTTTAGACAGGGAAACAGGGAGTTATCTTTCATAGGGAATATGGCCGACTGAAATCATGCAAGCAAATTTGTAAGTGTGTCCGTCCGTCCGTCTTTCCGTCCGTACGTACGTCCCGAATTTGTGTCCGGCCCATAACTTGGTCATTTGAAGTCGGATTTTAAAACTATTTCACAGAAATGATCACCATATTGAGACGATGTGTCGTGCGCAACATTTGGGTTGCTACCTTAAAGGTCAAGGTCACAGCATGACCTTGCAGCAAAATCATGTCTGGTCCATAACTTCATTATTTGAAGTTGGATTTTAAAAATATTTCACAGAAATGACCACCATATTGAGACGATGTGTCGCGCAACATTTGGGTCGCTACCTTGAAGGTCAAGGTCACAGCATGACCTTGCAGCAAAATCGTGTCCGGTCCATAACTTTGTTATTTGAAGTCGGATTTTAAAAATATTTCACAGAAATGATCACCATATTAAGACAATGTGTCGCGAGCAACATGTGGGTCGCTTCCTTGAAGGTCAAGGTCACAGCATGACCTTGCAGCAAAATAGTGTCTGGCCCATAACTTCGCTATTTGAAGTCGGATTTAAAAAGTATTTAAAAGAAATGATCATCATATTAAGATGACGTGTCACACACAACATTTGGGTCGCTACCTTGAAGGTCAAGGTCACAGCATGACCTTGCAGCAAAATTGTGTCCGGCACATAACTTCATTATTTGTTGCATAATAACACACACTTTGGTTCTTCTATATTCAATAGTGAAAAAGGCGGGTCCTGTTAGAACATGTAGAATATTATATAATACATTACTTTCTGAAGATATGTGTACAGCATTGAAAGCGCCAACAGAAAATATATGTATAAAAAGTATGTGATATTTAGTTTAGACATATTTTATATGTTAACAAGCATGTATCATTTTACATCACAATATATATGGATTGGAAAACAAGCAGAACAATAATGAATTCCTTTCCACAGAATGATATTTCTTTTCTGCATTTCCCAGAAACCTATTTTTTATATGTTTATATGTTGTATATACAATTAATACAAAATATATCAATATAATATAACCATTCTCTTAAAGTATTTTGTATTATGCATATAATAAAATGTTCGTAGAATAGCTTATTTTAAATTGGGAACTGTGCAATAGAAATAGGCAATAAATAAGGATTTATGTTTAATTTTTTGAACTTACTTGTATGTGCATGTACTAGATTTCCATTTGCTAAATAACACCATTTTTAAACAGGAAAAGAATGAAAATGATGTATGTTTATAACAATGATTTGTATCATATCTAAAGGGGAAAAGGTACATATATATATATATATATATATATATATATATATATATATATATATATATATATATACAAAAAATGAAAACAAGTGCCGGAAAAAAGTCACATATAAATAAAACAAAAAACACAGTCCATGAGTTAACTTATTTAACTTATTACTATGCGACGACGTCACATTTGCCCTGATGATCATAAGAGAAACCGGTTGGCAAATAATTAAATAAGTTAACTCATGGACTGTGTTTTTTGTTTTATTTTTGTTTTATTTATATATATATATATATATGTGAAGTAACTTTGGAAATTGTCATATTTATTGCTGCAATTTTTTAGCTCACCTGTCACAAAGTGACAGGGTGAGCTTTTGTGATCGCTTTTCGTCCGGCGTCCGTCCGGCGTCCGTAAACTTTTACTTTAAATGACATCTCCTCATAAACCACTAGGCCAATTTCATCCAAACTTCACGGGAATGTTCCTTTGGTGGTCACCTTTAAAAATTGTTCAAAGAATTTAATTCCATGCAGAACTCAAAAAACTTTAAATATCTTCTTTTAAAAAACCCTAAGAGCTAGAGCTTAGATATTTGGCATGAAACATCTTCTAGTGAGTGTCTACCAAGTTTGTTCAAATAAAAGCCCTGGGGTCAAAATTGGCCCCGCCCCAGGGGGTCATTGATTTTCCCTATATGCATAAAGTAAAAACTTAAAAAATCTTCTTTTAAAGAACCCAAAGAGCTAGAGCTAAGATATTTAGCATGAAACATGTTCGAATGAGTGTCTACCAAGTTTGTTCAAATAAAAGCCCTGGGGTCAAAATTGGCCCCGCCCCAGGGGGTCATTGATTTTCCTTATATATGCATATAGTAAAAACTTAAAAAATCTTCTTTTAAAGAACCCAAAGAGCTAGAGCTAAGATATTTAGCATCAAACATGTTCTAATAGGTGTCTACCAAGTTTGTTCAAATAAAAGCCCTGGGGTCAAAACTGGCCCCGCCCCAGGGGTGTCATTGTTTTTAACTATATGTGTATAGTAAAAACTTAAAAAATCTTCTTTTAAAAAGCCCAATGAGCTAGAGCTTAGATGTTTAGCATGAAATATCTTCTTATGGGTGTCTACCAAGTTTGTTCAAATAAAAGCCCTGGGGTCAAAATTGGCCCCGCCCCAGGGGGTCATTGATTTTCCCTAAATGCATATAGTAAAAACTTAAAAAATCTTCTTTTAAAGAACTCAAAGAGCTAGAGCTAAGATATTTAGCATCAAACATGTTCTAATAGGTGTCTACCAAGTTTGTTCAAATAAAAGCCCTGGGTTTAAAATTGGCCCCGCGCCGGGGGTCATTAATTTTCCTTATATGTGTATAGCAAAAACTTAAAAAATCTTCTTTGAAAAAACCCAAATAGCTAGGCATGAAACATCTTCTAGTGAGTGTCTACAAAGTTTGTTGAAATAAAAGCCCTGGGGTCAAAATTGGCCCGCCCCAGGGGGTCATTGATTTTCCTTATATATGCATATAGTAAAAACTTAAAAAATCTTCTTTTAAAGAACTCAAAGAGCTAGAGCTAAGATATTTAGCATCAAACATGTTCTAATAGGTGTCTACCAAGTTTGTTCAAATAAAAGCCCTGGGGTCAAAACTGGCCCCGCCCCAGGGGTGTCATTGTTTTTCCTTATATGTGTATAGCAAAAACTTAAAATCTTCTTTGAAAAAACCCAAATAGCTAGAGTTTAGATCTTAAGCGTGAACCATCTTCTAGTAAGTGTCTACAAAGTTTGTTCAAATAAAAGCCCTGGGGTCAAAACTGGCCCCGCCCCAGGGGTGTCATTGTTTTTTCCTTATATGTGTATAGCAAAAAACTTAAAATCTTCTTTGAAAAAACCCAAATAGCTAGAGTTTAGATCTTAAGCGTGAACCATCTTCTAGTAAGTGTCTACAAAGTTTGTTCAAATAAAAGCCCTGGGGTCAAAACTGGCCCCGCCCCAGGGGTGTCATTGTTTTTAACTATATGTGTATAGTAAAAAACTAAAAAAAATCTTCTTTTAAAAAGCCCAATGAGCTAGAGCTTAGATGTTTAGCATGAAACATCTTCTTATAATTTTTTGGGGGCTATATACAGGTGAGCGACCTCAGGGCCATCATGGCCCTCTTGTTTTTGCTTGAAATGTTTTGTTATTACAAGTTAAAGCTTAGAATATTGGTTAAAATATATGTTACCTTATAATTTTTGGTTATTTCAAATAAAAGGGTATATTAAAGAATATTGGTTAAAAATAGTTAAAGCTTATATTTATATTAAAGAATATTGGCTTAAAATAGCTGTTGGCTTATAATTTTTGGTTATTTCAAATTAAAGCTTATAATATTGGTTAAAAATGGTTTTTGGGGAAAGTTGTTCATTATTATTACCTCTCTTTAGAAACCCAAATATTTGTCATTTGTTATTAATATATTATTGAAATTAGTCCTTAAAATCCTACCATTATAATTTATGTTTAACTACATAATTAAATTTAGTCCTTTCCTACCATTATAATCTATAATAATCTATGTTGTAATCTATGTTATTGAATTTAGTCCTTTCCTACCATTGTAAACTATATAATTGAATTTAATCCTTCTCTACTGATAGGGGCCTCCGTGGCCGAGTGGTTAAAGTCGCTGACTTGAGATCACAGGTCCCTCACCGCTGTAGGTTCGATCCTCACTAGGGTCGAAATCTTTCATGTGAGGAAGCCATCCAGCTGGCTTACGGAAGGTCGGTGGTTCTACCCAGGTGCCCGCTCGTGCCTGAAATAATGCCCGAAGGGGCACCTGGGGTCTTCCTCCACCAATAAAGCTGGAAACAAATCGACGAAAAATCTCGGCGGGACGCTCTAGGATGGCCTGACTTGAGTGTACGGTCGCCCATATGGGCTTTCCGGCGGCGACCTTAAATAAACACATTAAAAAAAAAAAAAAAAAAATCTCTACTGTTATTAATTATTGGTAGGTTCGGGTGCTAACTATGATGCCTATGTGATTGAATTTAGTACTTCCCTGCCATTTTTTTTAAAACTTAATTGCTATATAATACATATATATAATACTGACTTTCTACCGCCTCAATTTCAAAGCCTGATTAAAGTTTGAATTGTATTTAGCAGTGTTTTGATTAAAGGTATGTAAGTACATGTATCTCTAACTTATGTTTATCTTTTTGATCTAATTATTTACAGGGACTCCACTGTGGTTTAATTTTGTCATGAAGGGACATTATATTTTCCGAGATTTGTGTACTTTTTAATGTAGGTGTAGACCAATAACTTGTATCCAAATTATAAGATCCTGCCCTCATCTTTCCAGAATCATCCATCTTATTGTGCAAATGACCCAGAAATGAACCTTTTTCAGTTAAATTGGGCCCAGAATCACCCAAAAAAAGATCAGTTTTCAATATAATGCTGAGCATATTTTTTCTCCTTTTGCAGATTTTTCCATTGTCAATGCTTTGCCTGATCTACCCAAGAATTTCAGAAGAAATATCTAAGATTTTATTTTTTTTAGACATTTTGACCTTAGTCGAGTCCCTTTAAAATGGGAAGTGTATCAGTATTCCAATTTTCTCTTATCTAGATAATCAGTACAAATACCATATATTTAATGTATTGGCTTTATGATAATGTGTTAAGTTAAAGTACTGTGTTAAATTAAAAGCATTCCTTAATAAAGTTTATAAAGTACATTGTTCTTAGTTTCATTTCTTTTCCACTGTATCCATTCCAACTATGATGAAAAGAAGTTGTATGATTAGTTTTATATTGTATTCTTGTCAAATTTTTTTGCAACTTCTGGATGGTTGCTTATATAACAGAGCTTGATTTTAATGCAATGCTTTTAGTTCAATTATTACATACATTTACGAGCAACAAATTCTATAACCGAGGTGTTGGTGCTAGCTTCACACTTAAGCCAACAGTGTTTCACAAAACACAATGTAATATTACTGGTTACACTCTTTGTATAGATAACATTGACCATTATTTCAACTGGTATGCATAATGCCAAGACCCAAGTATATAATGCTCCACATGTTATAACTTAGAAACTCAAATAAATTTGTACTTGCTCAGCCTTCAGGTAATGGTTTGAAACCTGGAATACTTATCTATGATATTCACATCTATTCATATTCAAGAGTACATAACTTTGTCTTGGAACCATTCAGTGTTATCATATCCCTTTATTGACTTATCGCATGAGCATATTGCAAACAATGACTGTTTTCAATGAAAAGCCTCCTGTTAAAAGTTCAAACTGCTATTAAACTATGCTTCAATACTAATCAAACTTGGCACAAATGTTGACTGGACCATAGCCTTTGTAACAGCATGCTCAATCTTAAAATTTCCCGTTACCATGGCAATGGGGGGACGTCTCAAGGTTGCCAAAAATCACTATTTTGCATTGTTTTTTTTTCATCAAAACTGATTTCAAAGTGCTGCAACTTCTCAATGAATTGAGATAGAGTCAAAGGCTTTTCAGTGTATTTAACATGTTACCTTAAGATTGACCTGTGGCCATTTTTAGCCCCTCACAAGTCCAAAATTTTCTTGGCGAGGGGCACATCTCCCATTTTTGATAGGGGGCTAATAAAATAAGAATATAAGGTCATTTCACTTTTATTACAATAAAATCATAAATATAGATATTTCTGACATAGAATACCAGTTTTTTCAACAACAATAACAACTTTAGTTCAAAATACATCACTTATAAATATGCAATTACATGTACAATAAACCTAAAGTCCCCCTGATTAAACTGGTAGGGGACAAGTAAAAGTATTACAATATCACAATATTTTGTTTTGAGCAAATATTACGATGATAGAATATACATATTCATTTAAAATCGTCATAAGCTCAATCAAATTACCCCCCTTAAACATATTTTAATCCCTAACCTGCTGAATTTGTGGAATGGACTTGCCCTGCTTTGAATGAGGAACAGTCCATTTTAATCTAAAGGGATTTCAAAATACCAGTAACCATTTTTCAGTTCAAACAGGTTAAGGGTTAATTCACTCAGACACATTACAGATGACATAGCCAATTCCCATTTAACTAATGGAAGAAGACCTCCTGTGCCCCCCTCTGTGCATTGTTTGAGCACAAACCGGCAAGTTAACCCTTTGTGGCTGAGGGCTTGTTGCGGCATAAGAATTGCAGCCACCACTTATCCCTAGGTGATCATAAGAGGCAATTAAATTGGTTCTAATAACTGGGGTCTATGCATCTCTAAGCTCCAGCAGGTAAGGTGGTTTTGACACCTGGTGTTGCTTAGAAATAAGTAACACGTGAAGTTAGTCAAAATCATCTTACTTGTTTCTGGACCATATGGCCTATACGATATTGGTGCGCCCTAAAATTAAGAACAAACAAACTACTAGACCCACTTTGAAACAATCTTGAAATGACAGCTGTACAAAATTCAAAATTAAATAACATAAAAATCACAATTTCAAAATTTATGCCAACTTTACAATAATATAACAAACAATACAAAAGAAAAATTCTTCATATCTTCATAGAAAATGGACATACTTTCACAAAGATCTTAGTAGAAAATACCAGCATTCAGGTAATCCAGAAAAGAAAGATTTATACAGTGCAAAATCTGGAAATATCACAGAGAAACCTAAATAGTATGGTCAAAATTAGATATCACAAGTTCAAAATGTTGAAATATATGTATGAAAAATTAACAATATATTATAATTGTTATTTGTGATAGTATTACAATGTAACTTTCACTATAAAAACACAAATAGCATATCTCATCACTTGTTTGTTCTACCTTAAATTATCAAATAAATATTTATGATTATCTGATACACTTCTAAATGAACGATGAAAAGTTGTAGCAATGAACAATTTTTTGCTATTGTAACCACAGAATCAACGCATGCAACTAAATCCCGACCAAGATCAGCCGACACATTCATACTGTCTGTTACTATCTGTTCATGGTCCCTCACTGTTTGTTATTTGATCAGTACATACTTTGAAATTATTAATGGTTTTTGTCCATATTAAAAGATTGACAATAAATATTTAGTGTGCTTATGGGTTAATGAAAATTAGCTGACATTTTTTATACCACATTAAGTCACCTGTATTGAAACAAGAGCTGTCGGTAGGACAGCAACGCTCGACTATTCTTAGTGCTTGATAGTAAAAAAAAATGCTTGATACAATTACCTCCTCCTGTTTTACAGGTTGGTGTAATTATGGTGAACAAGTGTGCAAAGTTTCAAAGCCATATGTCAATGGACTTTGAAAATATTTGAACTATTACAAAGACTTTAACGTAAATTCTAAGTCGAAAAAGGGGCATAATTTTGTCAAAATGCTTGATACAGTTACCTCCTCCTGTCTACAGGTTGGGGTAATGATGGTGAACAAGTGTGCAAAGTTTCAAAGCCATATTTTAATGGACTTTGAAAATATTTGAACTATTACAAAAACTTTAACATAAGTGGTTACGCCGACGCAGACGCCGACGCTCGGGTGACTACAATAGCTCTACTTATTATTATCGAATAGTCGAGCTAAAAATATAATAACAGTTGTTAAATGGTCATCTTGTCATTGACAGAATACATGTACCATATATTGTAAATCAATGCATGTATGTAACACCCATCCCCCACCCCAACACCCTCCCTCACAACCCATACACATCCCAAGAAGTTAATATATTTCATTAACTTTATACAGGGACAGAAAATATATCTCATTCACATACTGGGACAGAAAATATACTTTATTAACTTATAGGGACAGAAAATGTACCTTATTATCTTATAGGGACAGAAAATGTACTTTATTAACTTAAATGGACAGAAAATGTACTTTATTATCTTATAGGGTAAAAAAGTGGGTTTTTATTATCTTGTAGGGACAGAATAATTGTGTCAAACTTACTTATAGGGACACAAAATGTGATATTATCTTATTGTTATTATAATCTCAACATTACGGGGCCCCCTACAGATGAAGGGATTGCTCCTTTCCTTCGGGCATTCTAAATTTAAACAGTTCATTCGGATCCAGATGTTCTCCGTAAAACTTTGATGCCATATCTCTATCTTGCACTACTTTCTTGGGGGCTTCTTTCTTACGCCGTGCCTCATGTTTCATTAAGTTTTGCTGCAGCTGTGTGGGCATTTTTCTGTAAAAGAAATTATTTAATGCACATCTTTATTTTACAATAAAAGCCTGAGGTTAAAGCTTTATAGCTAATGTTGAATTACTTATTGAAAATAAAATGTTTGTTTGAGACAACTGAACTCTATAAATATAAAGTATGACATTTTTTAGCACCTGCAGGAAAAAATACTGGAAATATTTCTACTTTTAAGATATAAAAATAAATAGCATTTCTTTGTTCAATATTTATTTTTTATAGGGATATTGAATAAACAGTGAATAAATGTACTGTGAAGCAGAAAAACAGTGGTACCCAATAGTTTAACCCTTAACCTGCTGAATTTGTGTAATGGATTTACTCTAAGCTTTGAAATTGGAACAGTTCATTAAAATTTTAAGAGATTTCAATCACAAAATTCAAAGATTGAGCTACCAACAGTATAGAGCCTGGTCAGACTGCACAGATGTACCAACTGGCCTCGCACTAAGGAGCCCCAGGAGAAATCTAGTATTCAGAGGCTATCGGACTACTGCTAATTTCGAACACTGTAATTCCAACAGTGTAGAGCCTAAGACTAAAGTGGTGGCAAACCCCTTATCACTTAGTAATCCAGCGAAATAAGTGTCAAGCAATTATTTTAAACAGAAGTAAATGGATACATACTGTCCAGGTGGCACTGGGTTCCTATAAGCACTTGATCCAGCATTTGTTATATTCCTCTCCACTTTAGCAGGTGGGTGTAATGTGTCCCATTGTACCTTCTTGTATTTCTGGAAACACTGTGGACAAGGGTCTTCATTATTTACTGAAATTAGCATGAAAACATGATGAAATTTATAAATATCAAAAAAAAGTTACAAGTTGTTGTTTTCTTTCAAAATACAAATGCTCAAAGATCACTAGCACATTTTGTATTCACAATGTTATAAAGTGTAAAAGCTATAATTATGTCTGCAGTTTACAAAATTTTTGTTTGAATTTTCAAAATGGATTATTCCATTTTAAATGCCTGAATGAAAGAAGAGGGATTTGGGCATGCACTAAATCATTGCAAACAATTAAGACCCTGCTTTGAAAATTAGTGTAATATTTTGTTTAAGAATATTTTATTCTCTTTACATACAACAGTCATGTGTAAAATAACATTGGCATTCTTCTTCATGAAAAGACCATAAAATTATGAAAATCATTTTAAATCTAATAAAAATATTTCATTAGATACATGTATTATAAAGCTTTATACCCATTAAATGTTATATGTTTATACATGTAACTATGTTACAGTAAGTTGTATTTGTAGAGGTTGACCTTCACACAATTGGCAGTCAATATTTTGTTTCAAACTCATAAGATGGAATATTGATTGAAACACCTAACAAATAAAAGCTTAGAGTGAATAGCTAACTGACTAAACAAGAGGGCCATGATGGCCCTGAGGTCGCTCACCTGTATATAGGCCCCTGGAGCGGGGCCAGTTTAAACCCCAGGGCTTTTATTTGAACAAACTTGAAAGACACCCATTAGAAGATGTTTCATGATGTTAAGTTTTTACAACACACATATAATGAAAAACAATGACAGGCTGTCAACCAGGTCTTATCCAAAATAAAGGAGGAATATAGGAATATTTTAGCAGGAAATATAGGAGTTTTTGGGCTATTTTTAGGCAAAAAAATAGGAGTTTTCAACTTCAATTGTTTATTTTACCAATGCTTATATAAATGTTAATTATTCTTACTTTCACACATGCTGTTTCTACAATAAAATGTCAACCGTATAAGTGAAGGAAACCATTAGCAGACTGTCCAGCACCTTCCGACATAAAATTAGGGCAAATTTTACAGTAATATTTCAGAAATTTTAGGGTATGTAATAGAAATTTTAGGGCTAAAATTTGCAATTTTATGACTAAATAAATTAAGGTCCCAAAAGACTACGATGTGGGCTAACCTTTGCATATTGGACACAAAAGTTACTCACAAATAATGCTCTAGTTTAGTATAAATAGAGCAAAGGTGCTACCAGTGTGGATTCACTGGTCAACTGCCTCCCCTGCAAAAATGGTCATAGTCGAATCATGTTCACACCATTTTTTTTAAAATGGCTGAGCATGTCAAAAAGAACAATTCCACCTATGTTTTGGGAATGTTATAACCACAAGTGTCTAAAAGGATTTCTTATACAGTGAAATTCTTGCACAATGCAGCTTTTGAATCATAATTATGGACAAATGAATTTTTTTGTAAAAGTAGGTAAAAAGTAAAAAGGCATTTGCCTTAGTACAGTCATTTGAATAAATGGGAAGCATCTATAATCAACACAAATAATTGCACATCAAAAAAATTCATCACACAGACCATTCAATTGCAGTTTATCTAGATCACATAATTGCAAAATGTGTGTACATTGTAATTGGAAATGAGCTTTATATTACTGAACTGCCAAATTATTTTGAGTGTGATTAATTATATGAGTCTGCCTTTCCTAAATTGCACCATATGAATGAAAGAACAAGAACTGAATGAAATTGATAACTTTGTGGCAAAATAAGCAATTTCTCCTACAAAGATACGAAAAGAATAAATAAGTATGAGGGAAAGAATTAATTTTTCGAAGTCTATGTTAACCCATTCAGTACTTTACAATGTTGTTTTGATATTATGCAGATTTAAATAAAAGTGTTGTGAGTAAACAAAATGTACATTAATTTTTGACAACTATTTATACATGTTTTTAATTAAGATTGTGTTACAACAGCTTCATAATGATCATTTTCAAATATGATATGATAAAAATGGACCACGTCAGAAATTTGGATAAAATAAACAAACATAAAATTCAAGATATCTGGAGTTGGCAAAACAGTGTCAAAATATTCCAGAATAAGTGGACTCTTATGGTTATGATTTAAGTTTCAGGACAATGATATGGCAGTGTTTTTGCTGTTAACTGTCAATATGATTATCAACAACTGCTTTGATTATGAAATAGCAATGTTACTGACATAGTCAAAGTAACTTTTAGTTGAAACAAACCATTTCAATGTCATCAATTTTGAGTTGGCAAATCATGGCCAAATCATTTTTGACAATGTTCAAAACATGGTCGACTTTGAGTTATGTTTACAGAATTACAAGTTATAAGTATATTTAGTACAAAAGATAAAAAATAATTAGGAATTTCAGTGAAAAAATAGGGCATTTTTTGGAATTCTCTTCGAATTTTTCACATTTTTTTTACTTTTTCATTAGCTTTGAACCTCAGCATCAGCAGAAAGTTACAGCAATGCATGACCATCATCTGAATAGTCACCTGAAATAAAGTTGACATACTGATGCAAAACTTTTCATGGTGACCATGCAGATGGCTATGTGGAGCACAGCAGCCTTGAGCATAGTAATGTAATGCTGATGCAGGCATAGACATTCTCTTACCTGTAAAATACAAAAGGCCAAAAGCAGTACCAAAATTTAAAGCTCTTTGAATTCCTCGGCAATATATTTTTTAAAAAATATAGGAAAAATATTCAAAATATAGGAGAATATAGGAAAAATAGGAGGTTTTTTAAAATATAGGATTCCGACCCAAAATATAGGAGTTTTATAGGAATTGGTTGACAGCCTGCAATGATCTTCCTCTTGCTTCTTCCCCTCCCGGCAGGGCCAATTTTAACCCAAGGGCTTTTATTTGAACAAACTTGGTAGACACCCATAAAAAGATGTTTCATTCTAAACATCTAAGCTCTAGCTCACTGGGTTTTTTAAAAGAAGATTATTTAAGTTTTTACTATACACATATAGTAAAAAACAATGACACCCCTGGGGCGGGGCCAATTTTGACCCTAGAGCTTTTATTTGAACAAACTTTGTAGACACTCACTAGAAGATGTTTCAATGATGCTTAATATCTAAACTCTAGCTATTTGGGTTTTTTCAAAGAAGACTTTTTAAGCTTTTGCTATACACATATAAGGAAAATCAACCCAAACCAAAATGCATGCCTGCGACAAGCTTGCCGCAAGCTTGCGATGACTTTTGAAATATATTGCAAGCTTGTTTAAAATTCATGCAAGCTTGCGAAGATTTGATGTAAGCTTGCAATGCCGCAAGCTTGCTGTGAATTAGTAGACACTTAGAAAATTTTTGTACAAATCTACACTTAGAATTTTTTTGTTAAAGTAATGGAAACACTTAGAAAATTTTTGTCAAAAGTGTACACAATCATTAAAAAAAAATTCCAAAAATGATAGTTTCAGTGATAATTAACTAGTTTAAACTACATTACCACGCTAAAGTTTGTCTGCCAATGAAATCACCCTATTTTGTTAAAATTTTGCCAAAATATTTACCATACAATGCTGTAACTAAACTTCATGTATTAAATTAATATGTTAAATGAGCTGATTTAATGGACTCCACCTATTCATATAATGTACTCGATTTGAATGGGCGAGGGCTAACTGTAAGTCGGTTATAGGTAATATACAGAGTTTAAAGAAACTATTTTTCTCGCCTCACCAGGTGTAGATTTTCCAGGGTAAGCCTGGAAGAGAGGCTGGAAAACTATGGAAAAGCATGGAATTCCATGGACATTCATGGAGAATGCGGTATTTTTTTCATGCTATAATGGACTTTTTTTGTCCAGCCATTTCCAGCATTGCTGAAATTGGCTTGACATTTGTGGTAAAAGACTGGAAAACCATGGACTTTACTTCCATATAGCATGGAAAGTGGAACTTAGATTTTTTTGATGCTGGAAATGTGTTAAACTTTCTCTAAGTATGCTGGAAAAACTTGTAAAAATAACAACAAGAAATCTGATTTTATATATTCAGCTCAATATTGTAAATTTACGAAGAAAATATAAAATCATCATTTATTTTAATGCAATACTGTAAATAATTTGAAATTTGACACTTTATAGTCATTTCATGTAGTTGGAAAAGGGTATCTCTGTCTATGTCTATGCAAAAAAAGTAAATGAATTGATTGTTAAATACATATTATTATTTAAATAAATCTACATGAAGTTATGTACAATGAAATAATATCCATTTCATTACAGGCTTTATGTTTAACTATAAATTAATTAAAGTCTGTGATTCAATCATTCAGACACTAATCATCAAGATGGGATTGCATTGCTTGCCATTTTTAAATTCTAAGAATTCATGTTTTTGGATAACAATAAATAAATAAATAAACGAAACAAAAACAGTGCATGAAATAATCTCATATATATTCCATATTAAATTAATCAATATATATATTGCTTTTATTTAGGAAAATAAATACTACATCCACTAAGATTTTACACTACACAGATCAGAGCCTTGATAAAATTCATTGACCAGCATTTTCCCACCATCTGGGCATGACTAATTTACTCCCTGGTCATTCCGACAGATCAGGCTGTTCCATGTGATTATTTTGGGGAGAGATAACATTATAAATTTCATATGCAGAATGTGTCTAGTAGGACATTGCAATCTTTTTGTACAAAAATTTGTAATTATTTTTAAAATCTATATATCTATTAGCTATTTGATATTTTCTTTTACGCTCAAAGAATGAAAGTTAAAATTTAAAATTATGAGTAGATTAACCCTGCTTTACATAATCATAGACCTGTCCAGTTTTACAGTAACTGTTGTAAAATTTGAATTCTAAGATATCTGGGTCAGCAAAGAGAGCAAATTACAGAGGATGTGCTTGATATTTTAGCAGTTTTGGAGATATTGTTTTGTTTAAAGATTTTAAAGTGTTAAGTATTGGTATGATAACAATCAGAATCACCTGGGACAAGGAGATATACAACAGAATCAGGAATATTTATAAACTTTAAGATACATTAATGCAGAAACAGGTTATATATCAAACTATCAACATTTGTAACAAGAGATCAAGGTTGTTTTTATATTTTCAACTTCATGCATTTGTTTTTCTGATAATTCTTTTTAATCTATACATGTATAATCTGTAAAATATAAATTATTCAATGATTTCTTTATAATGATTGTGTATATTGTTTAAATGGCATGTTAGTAGATCTTTTTCATTTCCTGCAAATTAAACAAATTAAATCAATTTGATCAAATAGGACTAAATGGTACAATCAGTAGTTTTGTACAGCTGAACAGGGTCAATCATTATTTAATCATTTGTTATGTTACATGTATGTGTTGTGTTTTCAATGGAACAATCTAAAATTACATTTTACATTATACATACATAATTTGCAGGCTGGGACATAAGTGCTGACTGTGAGAATTTAAGCGGCAGTGTTTAATAATGATGTGCAGTATTAATCCTGAAAAGGTATATTTTTAAATCTCAATACTTTTCTTTTCCACATCTTTTCTTGAAAAAATACATACTGGGTAATAAATATTGTCACAAATTTACTTAATTCTTATACAGAGAAATTCTTAAACATTTGTGCACATTGCTTTATTATTTTTTGAAAATGCATAAGCATAGTTAATATTTAATAGTTAATACTGTTGAAACATTAGATTTGATGATATTAAAAGATATGAAATATAACTGCATAATATGCAATAAAACATAATTCATTACCTCATCTGTGTTTAATTAATTATGAATTTTATCTTTAAAGGTGAGCACAACCATAAGAAGTTCTAGGAAACACAGGCAGAGGACTAAAAATGGACATCGATAAAAGAAATAGTAATTCAAATAATCAGAAACATTTAAAACAAATTTAAGATTGAATAGTTTGTCACTGACAGACTAAAAGAAAAATAATTGCTTAAAACAAAGTGATGGATTCTAAGAAATCAAGAACCTACCAAAACCTACAGCTAGAAAAAAACTGTTTGTGTTATAGTGAATGTAGGGTGTTCTATTCTGTATTTGGACTAAAGGATATGTATTAAATTTACTTACATGTACTTTGTATTGATTGATGTATGTTTTTATTTTTGCTATTTTTTTTTTTTTTATTTGGAAGAAAACATTAGTGTAGCAAATAAAAAATTTAACATCAGCTTCTTTTTACAATTTATGATTAAATAAGTTTATCATGGTAATTAATGCCTTTTTTTTTTGCATGTTACATAGGATTCAGAGACTGTTCGTATACGTAGCAGCTCCCTTTCCAAATAGGGTTTACAGTTTTTGCAAGCTTGCGCAAGCTTATACATTAAGCTTGTAGTTAAACATGCACAAGCTTGCGACTTAGCCTGTGCAGGCTTGCAGATAAACCTGCGCAAGCTTGCAAATAAGCTTGCGCAAGCTTGCAATTAAGCTTGCGATTAAGCTTGCGCAAGCTTGCGATTAAGCTTGCGCAAGCTTAAATATTAACTACATGTAGTTTGCAACTGATCGCAAGCTTGCCGCAAGGTTCCAATTACTAGCCAGTAGCAAGCTTGCAACATAAGCTTGCAGCAAGCTTGTGACAAGCTTGCAATGTTAGCTTGCGATTTTGGTTTGGGAATGACCCCGGGGCAGGGCCAATTTTGACCCCAGGGCTTTTATTTTAACAAACTTGGTAGACACCTATTAGAACATGTTTCATGCTAAATATCTTAGCTCTAGCTCTTTGAGTTCTTTTTTAAAGATGTTTTAAGTTTTTACTATATGCATATAGGGAAAATCAATGACCCCCTGGGGCGGGGCCAATTTTGACGTCAGGGCTTTTATTTGAACAAACTTGGTAGACACTCATTAGAAGATGTTTCATGCTAAATATCTAAGCTCTAGCTCTTTGGGTTCTTTAAAAGAAGATTTTTTAAGTTTTTACTATATATATATGAGGAAAATCAATGACCCCCAGGGGCGGGGCCAATTTTGACCCCAGGGCTTTTATTTGAACAAACTTGGTAGACACTCACTAGAAGATATTTCATGCCAAATATCTGAACTCTAGCTCTTTTTTTAAAAGAAGATATTTAAAGTTTTTTCATTGGGTTGCCGTGGCAACCAGAGTTCTGCATGGAATTAAATTCTTTGAACAATTTTTAAAGGTGACAACAAAGGAACATTCCTGTGAAGTTTGGATGAAATTGGCTTAGTGGTTTATGAGGAGATGTCATTTAAAGTAAAAGTTTACGGACGGACGACGGACTGATGACGGACGGACGCCTGACGAGAAATGATCACAAAAGCTTAATAAGACTTTTAATTAATAATTTTTGTCAGCAATATTTTTTGTCAGCAAAAGAAAAGTAAATACATATATATATATATATATATATATATATATATTCATATCTATATATATCTATATATCTATATATAATATAAAAAAGTATGTTTTGGGAAATGCAGAGTACAAATTTAGTTAAATTTTTATACGTTTATTTCTGTTAGCGCTTTCAAAAATGTTTTTACATATCTTCAGACAGTAACGTATAATATAACCATAACAAACACAACAATGACATAACGTTATAAAAGTGTGGGAAACGTAAAAAACACTGATTCTTTTACTCTCTCTCCTCTCCTCTCCTCTCTCTCCTCCCCCTACCCCTCCCCTCCCCTCCCCTCCCCTCTCCTCTCCCTCTCTCCCTCTCTCCCTCTCTCTCTCTCCTCTCTCTCTCTCTCTCTAATATATATATTAACAGTTAACTGTATAAAAAGTGCTTGAAAAAACTCATCTCATTAACTAAAAATTCTTGACAAGTTCATTTTCATGAACAATACTGGTCCTCTTCCGAAGATGCTCTTGACTCTCAAATGTAAATAAAATATTCAAAATCATTGTAGTTAGATTCATTCTTTCAGTTTAATCTGTTTCAAGTTACTTCAAAATAATAATTGAGCCGCGACAAAACCAACGTAATGCGTTTGCGACCAGCATGGATGGATCCATGCTGTTAGCTTACAAACCCTATTACAAGTAGAGAAACTGACAGCGAACAGCATGGATCCTGATCAGACTGCGCGGATTCGCAGGCTGGTCTGGATCCATGCTGGTCACAAACCCACTATGTTGGTTTTGTCATGGCACGGCTCATATTATGTGATTTCAAGAATGATAAAAGGTCTATATTTTGACATTTGAATCTGTTTGATAGAGACAATCAGTATATGATCATTGATAGTGATACTTAATACTGCCATTTCATTGCCTAGTCAATATGCTTGAAAGGAATTTACATATATGTATGATTGCTACATTGTGCTTTGCCCTTTGTTGAAGAGAAAGCAGGTAGCATTTTAATGCCTGCTGAGGTCTGTTTTCTTGTTCCATACATTGTCCTAAAATGTTTAGAGCTGTTTCTTTATGTCCAAGATTTTTATCAGTTTCTATTGTTCTTTCAAGTTTACTAAGTGCTTGTTGTTGATCTTGATGCTTTTGTAGATGACCAAAGATCTTGTATTGTAGGAAGTACAGGAAAGGGAGAGAATCAACTACAGCCCAGTCCATCCATGAGTCAAATAGTTCATCTCTGTGTACATGTATCATGCTATCTTGTGTAGATCTGAACATTTCATACTGTAGTTCATGAGGAACACAGTTAATCTCTTTATGTATAAATCTGACGCAAAATGCTGTAATATCTTTGATATAGTCCTCACTTTGATCACTACGTACCCTCCTCACAAAATCTGCTGGTACTGCTCGTCGAGGATTATTCCAACATCTACAGAAAGGTAAAACAGGATTAGAGTTATATTGTTGTTCAGTGTGTCTCAGAAGTTTTTCAGCTTTTTCCATTTCTCTAGTACAGTAGAACAATGAAGCTAATTTAAGTCTGCTTGATGAGATATCTGAGTTTGAACCATCTGATAGCCAATCCAATGCTTGACGTGACACTTGTTTATTTTCTCCAATGCTGGATGATGCTAGGATAGATCCATATGTGGTAAAATGAAAAGGTGCAAGTAACTTGAATGCAGCATGTTCTAATCTATTACCATTATCACTGAAGGTCATTAGTTTACCTACAGATTGCTCTATTGTTCTACTGGTAATGTTTTTATTCTGAAAACGTTTTAAAAATATCTTATGGTTGGCACTTATGTCATTTGCAATGTTTATATATCCCAAGATCAAAACATCATCATATATTTCAAGAGAAGGAGGAAAAGGGTAATTACCATGTAGTTCAATGTTCTGCTTAAATTGAAGTCTAAGACCAAGATCATCAATACCAATACTAAGTAACCTTTGTCCATCATTCTGTATCAATTCACCAATATTTTTGGAAAGTTCTTGTTTTGACTCAGCTGTAAATTGTCCTGCCATCAAATTATTTTCCGGTATAATGAAATGTGAACAACAGTCATTCTGTATGCAACTGTCTAATTCCAATAAGCAGTTTTTTAAACATGTAAATAAATTGTTATCTTTCCATGCCCTTGGGTCTGTGTTTTCTATACAATGTAATAGAACTGTTTTACACATAAAACTTGATATATTGATTTCAGCTTTAGGATTAAGGAAGGACTTAAGAATCATTTTCAGTAGCACATAACACCTTATTTGTGTAATATTTAGACTAAACATAAGACACCTTTCTGCCAGTGATGTAGATATTCTCCATTCCCGGTCAGGATATTTACTGACCTTACTTCCAGTTGGAACAACAAAACACCCAGTACTGGCTGCATATCTTCTCATCTCTTGTGTTGGCCAACTACCAATACCCTGTCTATGTAACCAACCTGCTGCTGATTGAGGCCAAGATTTACATAAATAACCAACTACTTTGTCACTATCACAGAATCCAGTTCTTATATCAGCAATAGCTGGTCCATGCTGCTGCTCTCCATCCTCAACCATTTCAGTTATCATTGTGTTTTTAAACAATATTCTCCCTTCTCCATCAGTAATATGGTTTTTATCAGGAATAACAGATGCAGGAAGATGTAAATATGTTTCGAACTTTTGTAAGAAACAATAACCAGGGGTAGTGTTCTCATCCTGTATAATAAGGTAGTTTAACTTGCCTTTTTTCCACTCTAACCTGTCTTGCATTATATTGACATTGTGTGTACAGAGTAGTATATCATAGTCTGACTTGAGTCCTTCAGTAGTTGTACCTTCAATCTGACTCCCTAGATAATAGTCAGTCTGATTTATATCACTTAAAGTCCGATTGATATTACACATAGTCTCTAGCAGCATGCAATTTCTTCTCCTTCTCATCACTATTCTTTCATTGACACCAATGTCATCTAACACCTCTGATAACATCAATGATTTTTCTCTGGAGTCAAGTTCTTGAAACATTCTGTAATATATTAGTAAAGGAGAAAACTGTTTCAGTCAGCTATCAAATAAATTCTATAACATACTTCTACTTGTAACTTATTTGTCCTATATGTCCTAGAACAGAACAGAATAGGAGTGCCAACCAAGACATTATGAAACATAAGATAAACAAGTAATTATCATAGTATTGCAAGCAATCCATAAGTCCCCTACCGGTAAGAACCCCAGCAACATTCTGATGGGCCATTGGACATTCACTTATGTCTCTATTTTAAGTAAATTTGTTGAAAAGTTTTTTAAAAGTGATCACAGGAAACAGTTTTTATGTACAGACAGACAGACGGCCTGGAGGACATTCTAAAGTTATTTTTTTAAACATCCTTGTTATCAAAATATAACATTTTTTAAAAGCAAAATTCTTAAAAAGGAGATAACTATTGAAATAAAGATGCAAGACGTCATACACAATGTGAGTGTAACAAAGAAAAATTAGTAATGAAGGTGTTGATAATAAATGTTTATTTTGAATTTGAAGTAAAAGAAATTTAAAAAAAAATAAATATTTTTCTAAGTTCAAGGGAGGAAATTCTGATAAATTTTGTACTAGAGTTGTAAACCTTGTCACATATGATGTGGTTGATGACTAGAAACTTATATTTAAAGTTTGAAGACAATACCTTAAAAAATAAAGAACACCTGTACGAAAATGCCTACCCTGTCTACGCCCTGATTTGACATGGGATCAGAAATTTATTCCCAGCCAGGTTTTTTAAGCTATATGGTTGACTATAGAGAAGACAGAAATCTATTTTTAGATTTTTTAGTATACAATAAAGAGTGGTTTCAGGGTGGATTCAACGAAATATTTAAATGAGCCAGAAAAAATACCACCCTGAAATGGAAATCCAGGGCAGAATTTTCACTCACACAGATTTCTAAAAATAGATTTACTTCTAGTTAAATTAAGAGTAATTTCAGGGTGGGATTAATTTGAAATATTTAAATGAGCCATAATTCACCCTGATTTCTGTTTAAAAAGTCAGGCCAGACTTTTTTCCTCCTGTTATTATCCCGCCCCAAAATTTTGCAAATCCCACCCTGAAATTAAAATAAAAATCCACCCAGATTCCTGTTCTTTTTGATATTTGACAAAATGATAATTGAGATTTTTTTTTCACTTATCTGTATTTGATTTTCATACAATTAAATACATTTCAAAAGTCATTCTTGTCTGATATTTCCACTAGGTAGCTGCACACTGTATTACATAATTCCACAATTTAGTATCTGGACTACACAATCTGTAAACATATGAAAGCAGTGTAGAAATATGCTATAGACAACTTTCAATTTATATAATTATACTGTATTAATCTAAAAGAAAATGTAACACCTTAATATAGAGAAATATCTCCATACAGTGTAGTTTTAAAGGTATAATAATTCATTAATTGCAATCAAAACTTCAAAAGAACAAATGATTGATGAAATTATTTTAAAGAAGCAACAGCATTATAAACATATTTGTACTGACTTCATGAAGTCATTAATTTCATAAAATTTGCAGGAATAAATACTTCTTATAATTAAAACTGAAACTAATTTTGATAGGAAATGAAAAAAGTAAAAATTACCAGTAATATTTCTTCTATTGTATTCTTTTTTTCCAAGTACACCATTTTCCTCCCTAATGTCACATGTTACTGAGCTTTTTGGCTTCAACCTAAATTTTGGAAGTAGAAAAAAACAAATATGCAATCATGTCATGATTTTTATTACATTTTAAGACTTCAGTTTTTTTTCTAAAATGGAATGATCAAAATGTATAGTTTATTTAGAAAAATTAAGAATGATTTCATTTTCCCTCCATATTTTAAAACAGGATTCCTGGAAAGTTATTTAAAATCTTTTCAGAATACTGAGCTTACAGAATTCACAATTTTATGAAAAATTAAAAATATTAAGAACTGTAATTCAATTATAACTTACCATTTATCTGTTACAATTGGCTGCTTAATTCCCTCCATTTTTTCAAATTGAATAACGAAGTTTAACACATTTGTATTATGCTCCAAGTTTCACAATAAATTTCCCAAGAAAGTTCTGTATAGCTGGGGTAGTTGAATTCTTAAATCTCATTTTCTATGTAATTATCAAAACTCATTTATGTATTAATATATAATTGTAAGATGATTTATTTGAATTAAAATCACAACTAAAGCCTCCAATCTTTCTAAAGAAAATGACCATGCTTGAAATAATTTTCAGGGTGTGATATTTGCTCTGGATTTTAAACTGCTGTCAGTCAATCTGTGGTAACTTCTCTATTTTCGTCTGCCAGATAGCCCAGTTTAACATAAAGTATTTTGAAATACTGTAAAAAGTTCCACTTGAAGGTTATTTGTTTATATAAACTGAGAGCTGACCTTAGAGTATGAGATTCTGTGCAGATTGTGAGATGATGGATACAAACTAAAAATCTTGAACATTATATACTTATTGCTGACCAATTTATGCATTAAATAATAAATTGTTTGTCATAAGTTAAATATAAATACAATCAATTACTAGAAACAATTATCAATTTTATAGATAACAATAAATCATGTTGAGCTAAATAATCTACATAATTTCAAAAAAAATAATAAAGAATAATTCAGTAAATGAAAAGAATTTTTGTTAAATGGAGTTTACCATAAATCAACTGAAACTTTCCAGAAATAGACATTATAATATATTTTCTTCTGAATTAAAAATTCAATTTTATCTGAACAGCAATGTAAACTGTACTATGAGTGTATTACAATATTCATTTCTAATAACTCTAACTAAGAAAAATCAGGCTGGAAATGAAGAACTTTTAAGACTGTATTGAAACTGGTTCTTGAAAATTTTCTAACTTTGAAATATCTGGGTAGATTTTGCTTATATTTCTCCAAGTCAGTAAAATCTGTGTCAAAATATTTTCAAAGTGCAAATATTCCTGCTTCCACCCTGACTTTTACCAAGATGAAGACGATGTCAGGGTAGAAAAAACTTGAATTCCCATGTGAGATTTATTGAAAATTCAGGGTCCATGTCTATTTCACCCTGATTTTGCCAATTCTGGTTCAAAACAGGCCTGAATCGGTCCTGTTTTTCATGAAAGCCATGCTGATTTTTCGTACAGGCATATAAGTGAAAAAACGTAAAAACTAGAATCAGAAATCTTGAAATTCAGTCTATTTATTGCCAAAGCAACCAGAATTTTCATCATCAGAAGAAAAGAAAAGGATGTGCATAATCTCCAGACTGCCATCTATCTATACTAGTATTTCAAGTTTCATAAAAATATTTTCAGTACTTTTTGCGTTATCACTGGATCCAGGTTATTTGTAAAATTTGCCATATTTTCAGTCTATTTGTTGCCATAGCAACCAGAATTTTCAACATAGGAAGACAAGAAAAATAGTGCATAATCTCCATACTGCCATTTATCCATATATAAAGTTTCATAGAAATATTTTCAGTACTTTTTGCGTTATCACTGGATCTAGGTTATTTGTAAAATTTGCCATATTTTCAGTCTATTTGTTGCCATAGCAACCATAATTTTCAACATAGGAAGAAAAGAAAAAGATGTGCATTATCTCCATTCTGCCATCTATCCATATATCAAGTTTCATAAAAATATTTTCAGTACTTTTTGCGTTATCGCGGGATCCAGTTTTGTGAACGGACGGACTGAAGGACGGACCGACGGACGTACTCACAAAATGGTACTTATTGTGACTTTTCCGTTGATCTTTTTGGCCATTTTCAGTCACACAAGGCTTAACAAGAGCACCGCTAGGCGGAGCATTATATGCCCGAAAGTGTTTTTTTTTTTTTTTAGTAAAGATGGAGCATTTGTAAGACATGGGACTAAAATAAAGTATTACCTCCTTCAAATAAAAATCCTCCTTTGAAGTTTCAATATTGTGGTCCAAATGGTACTTTAAGTTATGCCCCAGAAACTGTTTTCAATTCTAAGGTAAAAGTGACCTTGACCTTTGACATTGTGACCCCAAAATCATAAGGGGTATTTTACCCAATATGGACAATCATACTATGAAGTTTAAACACAGTAGGCCAAATGATACTTAAGTAATATTCTGAAAACTGTTTTCAGTTTTAAGGTAAAAGTGACCTTGACCTTGTGACCCCAAAATCAATAGGGGTCTTCTACCCAATATGGACAATCATCCTATGAAGTTTGAATATTGTGGGCTAAATGGAACTAAAGTCATGCTCAAGAAACTGTTTTCAATTTCTAAGTAATAATGACCTTGACCTTTGACCTTGTGACCCCAAAATCAATAGGGGTCTTCTACCCAATATGGACAATCATCCTATGAAGTTTGAACACTGTGGGCCAAATGGAACTTAAGTTATGCTCCGGAAACTGTTTTCAGTTTTAAGGTCATAGTGACCTTGACCTTTGACCCCAAAATCTATAGGGGTCTTCTACCCAATATGGACAATCATCCTATGAAGTTTGAACACTGTAGGACAAATGGAACTCAAGTTATGCTCCGGAAACTGTTTTCAGTTTTAAGGTCATAGTGACCTTGACCTTTGACCTTGTGACCCCAAAATCAATAGGGGTCTTCTACCCAATATGGACAATCATCCTATGAAGTTTGAACACTGTGGGCCAAATGGAACTAAAGATATGCTCCGGAAACTGTTTTCAGTTTAAAGGTCATAGTGACCTTGACCTTTGACCTTATGACCCCAAAATCAATAGGGGTCTTCTACCCAATATGGACAATCATCCTATGAAGTTTGAATATTTCGGCCAAATGGAACTTAAGTTATGCTCCAGAAACCAAATTGCTAACGTTTTCAGTTTTAAGGTCATAGTGACCTTGACCTTTGACCTTATGACCCCAAAATCAATAGGGGTCTTCTACCCAATATGGACAATCATCCTATGAAGTTTGAATATTGTGGGCCAAATGGAACTTAAGTTATGCTCCGGAAACCAAATTGCTAACGTTTTCAGTTTTAAGGTCATAGTGACCTTGACCTTTGACCTTATGACCCCAAAATCAATAGGGGTCTTCTACTTAATATGGACAATCATCCTATGAAGTTTGAATATTGTGGGCCAAATGGAACTTAAGTTATGCTCCGGAAACCAAATTGCTAACGGACGGACGGACGGACGGACAGACGGACGCCAGGGGGTATAACATAATATGTCCGAAATTCTTTGGGGCATATAAAAAAAGACACAGAAGTAAAAACGGAATGAATAAGATCAAAGAGAATTTACTGTTACCCATTGTTCTCCAAATCACACAAGTACCGTTGGGTTCGTACGGATGGACGAACTGACGGACGGACGGACGGAGGGTAAACCTAAAGTCCCCTCCCGTAAACCGGTAGGGGACTAATAAGTTGCGGTTAAGTTATCAATTGCTCAAGAATTTTGCTTTTTTCCATCATTTGGTTGGGGTATTTTTCTTCTCAGAACAGAACAGGACAACACTTTATTAACTGTAGTTACATGAAGCAACACATGAGTGTTACTCGATCAAGTAAATTTGAATATTTGTTTTCTTATATTTTGTCATATAAGATATACTGAAATTTAAACACTCATTCAAATAATTATGCAACATTTTCTTACATAATTCATTCAATATAAACGTGAAAAATATGTTTCATGAAAATAACCAAGAGAAAATATTTCTTTTATTTGACCAGGTAGGTGAAATTTTTTTAATTTTTATTTCCTCTTTTGGTTTTGAATGTAAAGGGAAGTAACTCACTTCCTCTTCTTTATGGTTAGTATGAAAGTGAATTAAATTATTTCCCTTTAAGATTATCACACACCCGTGCCGATTTTGTGACTCAGTAAAAATGGTATTGCAGGGATGTGCATATATTTTGATGTGACGTCATTTGTGTTTTACAAACATATTAATTATTGTAAAGACGCGCTGAATGAGGCTTTTTTGCTTTAAACGGTCTTTAAATTTGGTATGTGATAAATAAAATATTAAATTCGTGTAAGTTCATTACTGAATTTATTGATCTTGTTGAATAAAATAATATTATGCTCGCCTCTATATAATTTATTCAACTTGTTCAATAAATTCAGTTATGAACTTACACTCACTCAGTATCCTCTATTTATGCAACACAAAAATACATGATATTATAATACTTAATTATGAGCACAGATATTTCTATTTAATTTGAATATGAAATTTATTAAAACAAATATGTTATTTTTAAGATGAACACTCACAGAAATATTCCATGAAACACTTTTTTTACATAATTCATTCTATTTAAATGAGAAATTTTGTAATTAGAATAAAGTTTAAAACTTACTTTTAATGTTGGATTGAACAATATTTCATGAAAAAAATCAAGCTAAAATATTTCTTTCCCTTTCTCCAGGTAGTCCTCTTCGTAATATTCAATTCCTGTCTACTATGTGGCCAAATCATAAAGATGTCATCTATATATATCTCCACCAGACAAGTGGTTTTTGTATTTGTAGAAATCTTGACTCTAAGTATGCCATAAATATTATTGCATATAACTATGTGCGCATTTTGTTCACATAGTTCTTCCTGATATCTGGTCATAAAATTTGCCATTGAACTGAAAACATGTTTTCTTAAGCACAAAATTTACAAGAGTGATCAGTTACGAATATACTTTGTTTTGGGAGACATACGTTTTTGTGACAAAAACTCCTTCTAGTTTTGTTTATTTTTTGCTTCAGCCTTACTGACATGAAAGGTGACATCTTTTCACTTGAACGGCATGAAAATAAAAATCCTGTACCTCAATTTTTTTAATTTTTTTATATCATAAATATAATGTTAAATGAAGATTTATCAATATTGTAAGTTCAAAAAGCATTATTTGTAAAGATATTACCGAATTCACATTTTCATGTTAACAAGAGCCATGTCAACATGGCCATCCCTCGTCGAATGTGTTTGCTCATTGGAAAAATATATATGTAGTAGAGCAGAATAATTCAATTTTAAGAGGTCTTTTGGTAATGAAAACTGATGGCTGAAGTGATTACAGATTTGAAACCTATGTGAATACTGATAGCTGAAAATAACAAAGGGCAATAACTGAAAAATAATGCAGGGTAGAGTTATCATTCTTGTGTGCTGCACTCCTCCTCAATGAGATCTATCCACCTATGAAGTTTCATGTTGATATCTCAAAGGCTTTTTTAGTTATGCTCTGGACAAAAATTAAGCATGAAAAATAACAAAGGGCAATAACTGAAAAATTATGCAGGGTAGAGTTATCATTCTTGTGTGCTGCACTCCTCCTCAATGAGATCTATCCACCTATGAAGTTTCATGTTGATATCTCAAAGGCTTTTTTAGTTATGCTCTGGACAAAAATTAAGCATGAAAAATAACAAAGGGCAATAACTGAAAAAAATATGCAGGGTAGAGTTATCATTCTTGTGTGCTGCACTCCTCCTCAATGAGATCTATCCACCTATGAAGTTTCATGTTGATATCTCAAAGGCTTTTTTAGTTATGCTCTGGACAAAAATTAAGCATGAAAAATAACAAAGGGCAATAACTGAAAAATTATGCAGGGTAGAGTTATCATTCTTGTGTGCTGCACTCCTCCTCAATGAGATCTATCCACCTATGAAGTTTCAAGTTGATACCTCTAACACTTTTTGAGATAAGCTCTGGACAAAAAGTATGAAAAATAACAAAGGGCAATAACTCAAAAATTATAATGGGAAGAGTTATCATTCTTGTGCACAGCATTCCTCCTCAATAAGATCTATCCACCTATAAAGTTTCATGTTGACATCTCAAAGACTCTGAGTTATGCTCCACTCAGGTGAAAAATTAAGTATGAAAAATAACAAAGGGCAATAACTCAAAAATTATGAAAGGTAGAGTTATCATTCTTGTGCACTGCACACCTCCTGAGTGAGATCTATCCACCTATGAACTTTCATGTTGATATCTCATAAGCATTTTGAGTTATGCTCTGGACAAAAAATAAGTTTGAAAAATAACAAAGGGCAATAAGTCAAAAATTATAATGGGGAGAGTTATATTTCTTGTGCTCAGCATTTTTCCTCAATAAGATCTATCCACCTATGAAGTTTCATGTTGACATCTCAAAGACTTTTTGAGTTATGCGTCACTCAGGAAAAAATTAAGTATGAAAAATAACAAAGGGCAATAACTCAAAAATTATGAAAGGTAGAGTTATCATTCTTGTGCACTGCACACCTCCAAAGTGAGATCTATCCACCTATGAAGTTTCATGTTGATATCTTATAAGCTTTTTGTTTTATGCTCTGGACAAAAATTTAGTTTGAAAAATAACAAAGGGCAATAACTCAAAAATTTATGCAGGGTAGAGTTATCATTCTTGTGTACTGCACTCCTCCTGAATGAGATCTATCCACCTATGAAGTTTCAAGTTGATACCTCAAATACTTTTTGAGATATGCTCCGGACAAAAATGTCGGACGGAAGGACGGACTGACGGACAGAAGGATAGACGGACGGAGACTATTTCTATATCCCCCACCGCCTTTCGGCGAGGGATAATAAAGGGAGGTAATTAAAAAAAAGAATTCTATAAAATTAGTCAAATTTTTCTATAAACAAGAACGTGTTTGTTAAACACAAATGCCCCTGGCTCAGATTCTTTCAGTAACAATATTTAAAATAAAGGCTGTATGGGCAAAAGTGTAAAAAATCTTTTTTAGCACTGTTGACCTTGACCCAACTGACCACTACCTCCATCCAAATGAGAATACCTCAATTTCATGTTCCTACAAAATATACAAGACATCTGTCGATAGAATAAGGTTAATACACCTGTAAAAGTGTAAAAAATTTATTTTTGACATTGGTGACCTTGACCCAAATGACCCCTTACTAAAGGAAAAGGAAGAGGACCTCCCTTGGTATGACTATTATAAACATGAAAGACATTAACTTAAAAATAAAGGCTGTATGAGCAGAAATGTTTAGATTTATCTTTTTACACAAGTGACCTTGACCTTAACCTAGAGACGCCTAACGCCACAAAAAATTATAAAGGACCATTAAAGGTATCCACCTACCAAATATGAAAGATATCATTAAATAAATAAAGTAATTAGGTGAAATTTTTTGATAAATCCAACTTGGCGGAATAGGTTAACCATACAAGTAAATGTGAAAATTATTAAGCCATTAGTTCAGATAAAACATAAGATATTTCCAACTTGCCGGTTTAGGTTAACCATTATTCATTTTCTGAGTGCTGAAAAGGGCCATAACTTGGTGCAAATGGAAGCCACAGTTATGTAACTTGCCAAGATTATATACTTTGTATGGATTAGTAAGTGTGTAAATTATGAAGCCATTGGTACAGGTAGAACTTAAGAAAATCCAACTTGCCGTTCTAGGTTAACCTCATACGGACAGACGGACGGAGGACGGTTCAATTACTATATGCCCGGGGGCATAAAAATATTGATGTTTGAAAATTGATTTAGAAGCATAATTACATACATATATAAAATTTCACTCAAGTGTGGTAACAACCTAAACTACAACATACTGGATCTTTAAACAAACAACAGGTGTGCTACAAAATAGTACTTGGCATTCAGGGTAACACATAAATCTTGTTTGTATAGGCATGATTAAATTAAAAAACATATATATAATGACATAGGTCCTAGTTTTCTATCATATAAATTACATTTTTGCTGTAAAGACACTTAATATAATTTATTTACTTTGGCTTGGGCTTACAGTCATGACTCACAATACCGTTAGCCTTTGCGATCAATAAACAGCCAGGCCACCTTGCACACCTGTGCAGTCTGACTAGGCGTAGATCATTTTTTGTGTCCTTAAACTTTCAATGTACTACTCCAAATTTCAATCTGGGCTATTCAATTACACATTTAATACTTTTTGTACTGTTAGGAGCTAAAAAATGAATTAATGTATTGATAATTCGGTTTCATATAAGGACATCTGGTTCCATACATGGCTTAGACTTTGGTACAATATATTGAAGAATTGGAATCATATATTGAGACAATCAACTTATATATTGCTAACTTGGTTTCATACACTGACGGTATGGTTTCATATATTGTAACTGTGGATTAACATAATGGATTCCGGTTAAATAAGAAGGTGTTTTCAATTCATAATTATATAGTCGAAGTCACCGAACTTATATATCAAATGGTTAAATAAATTGAAAAAGAACAATATCAGACAGCCATGGCTTTCCATACATGTACATTTCTTTAAAATATTGCTACTATATCTTGTAAATATCAATTACAAAAAGAGACAAAAATAAAACAAAATTACAGTGGGCTAATGATGGAAGCTGGGAAGTGTACGCAATTCATAGATAACCAGCTACCTCCGGTCCACATACATAACTTTGGCAAATACATCCCTATATACTATATTTTAATTTGTACCTCAGTTTGATAAGTTTATGAATTGAATAAGACATTAACACCTTGAAATATTGTATTTTAACACACATTCAAATCTTAGCTTAACGGGAAAACAGAATTTCTTTCTTGAACAAAATTTATTGTATATATGCAGTTACTTATAATTATTGATCTTGTTTTTAAAAATTTGAGGCAAATGAAACTAATTAAATAATAAATTCACGGAATATAAATCTATATTTATATGACAAGTTTAAATGTCCTATTTTCAGAATACTGATAACCGACTGATAGTGGGTACATTTTTGATAAAGATATTAGAAAATAAATTTCAACTGTGAAAACATTTAAGATCACATCTATACACCCTTATCTTATTTTGAAATAGTGAGACTTGTTAGCAATATTGGGGATTTTATGATGAAAATTTAAGTTAAATGCTAAAAGTCTGTTTATTTTTCTGGTTTTTATGCTGATTTTCACAATTTCTTAATTTCTTTTTTTTGTCATTATATCAGTGGTCAATCTACCTAGCTGTGTAACTAACCAAAGGTAGGATGGGAATGCATGACCCCTGAACCCTCTCATACCTATTACGGGTTGAATAAACGAGGTTACCAAGTCTGGGCCTAAAAAAAAAAAATGTTTTTGAACGCCGTAAAAACTCCATTGCACCTAACCTTTACTCGGGTTAAACACCGCCATAGAAGTGCATTGTGTATATCGATTAGGAAAGATCGCACGTGTTTAGAAATTCGAGAAAAAAACAATGAAAAATTATCGTCTAATCCATTATGTAACATGTAAACTTTTTTGGATAATCAAGAGGAAGATTTTTCTTCAAAAAGAGGGAGATTTTAGAATTTGCAATAAACATATAAGGAAATTCTGACACCAAAAAGAGGGAGATCTCTTTAACTTGTGAAAATACCTCTTATTTTAAGAAAAATCTTTGAAAATACATTTGTATGACTGCAGAAAGTGGGAATCTCCCGCTAAAATGTATGCATTCTTGCATTAAACTCGCAAAACTGTCACACCTGTCTCTGGCCGATGCATTTAGAGCCTTAGCAAACAGGTATAAGCGTAGTATAAAGCGATGCTCTGATTGGATAATGATAATCAGCAGTAGGCATATGGGCGGATACAATCTCTGCGCTTTACATCGCCACATAATTACTCTTTGGGAATTAAGATTTTTGGCGAAGTTGACTTCTCTTTGATCTATCAGAAGGGTCGAAATGGGAATATACAGGGCGAAGTTTTCGCCTGAATCGTCCTTCCTAATGAGCCCTGCTGGGAGCATAAAAAAACCCCCAAAAAGTTAGTGGGCTAATGGTGGAAGCTGGGAAGTGTAGGCAATTCATAGATAACCAACTGCCTCCGGTCCACATACTTAACTCAGGCAAATACTTCCCTATATACTGTATTCTAATTTATATGTTACTTGGTTTGGTAAACAAATTGAATATGATAGTAATGGACAAGAAAGGTGTCTTAAACACACATTTACACCAGTATCTTTCATAAAAACTAGAACTAGAATACCCCCGCATACCACTTTGTCAGAATCAACAGTGGCCAATTAGAGCTCAAGGACAACCTCCCTGCCAAATCTGAGGTTACTAAGCCAGTGCATTGCTAAGTTATGTATTCTACATGCTTCAAATGTGAAAATGTCAAAATCAATACAGGACAATCTTTAGCAATTGAGAAGAAAAGCTTTTTTTTTTGTCAAGGTCCCTGTGACCTCGACCTTTGACCCAGTGACCTCAAAATCAATAGGGGTTACCTTATAGTCATGATCAACATCCATGCTAAATATGAAGACTGTGGGTCAAAGGAATCTTAAGTTAATGGGTGGACAAACTTTTTGAAGTCAAAGTCCCTATGACCTTGACCTTTATTCCAGTGACCTCAAAATCAAAAGGGGTCATCTACTAATCATGATTAACATCCATGCCAAATATGAAGACTGTGGGTCAAAGGAATCTAAAGTTTTTGGGCAGACAAACTTTTTGAAGTCAAAGTCCCTGTGACCTTGACCTTTGACCTAGTGACCTCAAAATCAATAGGGGTCATCTACTAATCATGACTATCCTCCATTCCAAATATGAAGACTGTGGGTCAAAGGAATCTTAACTTATAGGGCGGACAAGCTTTTTGAAGTCAAGGCCCCTGTGACCTTGACCTTTGACCTGGTGACCTCAAAGTCAATAGGGGTCATCTACGAATCATGACTAACCTCCATGCCAAATATGAATACTGTGGGTCAAAGGAATCTTAAGTTATTGGGCAGACAAGTTTTTTGAAGTCAAGGCCCCTGTGACCTTGACCTTTGACCTGGTGACCTCAAAGTCAATAGGGGTCATCTACTTATCATGATAACCTTCATGCCAAATATGAAGACTGTGGGTCAAAGGAATCTTAAGTTATTGGGCGGACAAGCTTTTTGAAGTCAAGGCCCCTGTGACCTTGACCTTTGACCTGGTGACCTCAAAATTAATAGGGGTCATCTACTAATCATGATTAATCTCAATGCCAAATCTGAAGACTATGGGT